AAAAGAGATGGTCGAAAGTGCAGGCAGACGCTCGCTGCCCAAGTAGCAAAAAACAGTTTAAGCAGCAACGGCAAAAACGCCAAAGACAACGTCGATTAAAAAACGACTTAATATTCATGCTACGAATCTCGCGAGTTTAGATTCATTCAGTTTGTCTACACTGTCAGAAATATCCCAAACAGAATATATGTAAGAAAGCGTCAAAATTCCGAAAAAGAAATTTAAAAAATTGGCCGTCGTAAAGCTCACGATTCTCGAATATGCGGAATGTGGCTATTTCACGTTGTTGTTTCGTGACCTTTTGTAAACAACGGCAAAGAAATGAACAAAGAATCAAAACATATAAAATCAAAGTGGCTATGAGCCACTCAACTTGGAAAATGGATCGTCTGTAGACCGTGGCAATTTCGATGCCACTGACTTGAGGTTTTAATCCGTAGGTTAAGTTAAAGTTAGAGCTCAGTGGCATTGTTCAGAACTGGTGCAAAACCCAACTGCAAAAGAATAACACTCTTGAAACATTCATGAAGTTATCGGTCCGAGAGACCGAGTTATCCTCGTCGGAGAAAGTACCGCTTCTTGTCCGATCACCAAAGCATGAATTAATTCTCATTTTCATTCCTCTCCTTTCTCTTTTTCGCTCTTTTTTTTCCCAGCCAATATCAGTGATTTTTTTCTCCCTTTGTTACCTTTCCTCGTCTCAGAAATTAAAAGAAAAAATGCATTCAGCGTAGAGTCACTATACCACAAGGACAGCACCGCGTCTTGTCCGCTCAACAAAATTCAGCCCTGTTCGGTGGGGTCCGTACCTGGATGGGTGACCAAATACGAATACCCCGTGTTGTAATAACTTCTTTTTTTTCTCTTTTTTTTTTCCCCTTCCCTTTCCAAGGCGATATTAAAGACTGCAGAACTCCCAGCATTGGTAATGTCGTTTCGTCTATTACTCAACTATTTGTTCCTCCTTTCGCCATGTCCGTATTCAAGTGTGCTTAATTACAATATCGTATAAATAAACAGCGGAACACGTCGTTCAAATTCTCAATTTCCTTGACTGTTGATTGTCTAAAACATTAAATCACGGCTTGCATTATTCGAAAATTCATACAGCTCGTCAATTTTGCCACTTTCAATGTCTTCTTTTACGGCAATCGAGTATGAGCGGACACCTTCGGGAAATGAGTTATTTATATAACTACAGTTATTTATATAATTACAGCGGGTAGCTTCTATGTATTAAAACGTTCATGCGAAAATTTATTCAATGTAGAGCATTTCTGCGATAAGATATTGGGTACTTGCGTCAGAAATTTAAAGAATAAGTAACTTGACACGGTGCAAGCGACTGTGAAAGGGCCTTAAACGGCGGATGTTCGAAACCCGGGGGGGGGGGGTTACTCCTATATGAAAAGGTCGGGGTTGCTCGTCGTCTCAGGTACAACTCAAGGATTCTGGTCTTACTAACGAAACATCACCATTTTAGCTGCCAAAGTATCCTTTAGGGTGCACCCGAAGATATAATAATTAAAAGAAACGCTCTCATTTAATTTCTGTTTTCAGGCTTGATTTCCGCTGATCTCTCGAATACGCGAGTCGCGTCTGCAAGTGCGCGCGGGATCCTTTCTTGAACAGTGACTAGTGATCGAACCTATTCCGTTTTAATTGGTGTCTTTCAGGGGTCTGAAGATGATCGGGCAACTCCCATATTAGTCTCCTTTAGGAGTTGAATTCAGATTTTTGCGACAAACATCCATGACATTTTCATATGGGGATTCCCCACCCCACCGGGGTTTCAAATGTCTAACAGGAAGTGACCCAGTGAAGGAGTGAAGGAGTGATGGAGTGATGGAGTGATGGAGTGAAATCGCTTCACCACTACAACTTGGAAAATAATATTTTCCAAGTTAATGACGTTCCCGCCATTCTGTCTCATGTAGTTTCGAGAAAGTCGCTTGGGCTGTCCACGCAGTGCGCGAGTAACATCCTCGGAAGAACTGGGTACCATGTCTAAAATACGTTAGGTAGAAGACCTATATGGGGGATTCACTCTTATCTTGATAATCTCTTGACTCTTATTTAGTGGATTTACTTTTAACAAAAATCCCCAAAATTCTCCTGCAATAAAGGAAGGAAATCAATGTAAAATTACCCCGGAGGTCATCTTTTTCAGTTTCATGCCGGCCAACTTTAGCCTACATGTTTGTGGAAAATTTCACCCAAGCGATCCCCGTTGACATTTCAGAAGTCACCGGCCTCGATTTGTTGCAAAACTCCGCACAATTTGTCAAGTTTAAACGGGTGCATCATGTGCGTTACATATGACGTCAACTTTATGGCGTTTACTCTCGTCGAACGTAGCTCGAGGCTAATGAGCTCGCCAAAATTCTCTCAGTCACTCTAAAATTATAGTACCTTGGAAGAGGACCATCGGCAACTAACGTGCTCAGACCAGGCTTCAAATTAGCTCTGCCCAGGCCCCGTACCGATTTTTTTGAAACGTAGTTTCTGTTACCGTGCGGCAAATTTGTGGAGTAGATTTCCGTCTAGCGTGAGAGCCATTAGATCTTTTATTAGCCTTAAAACAAGTAAATCAGTTTGTTTGTTTGTTTGTTTGTTTTTTCTTTTTCTTTTCTTTTTTCTTTTTTTTAAACTCAATCTTGTAATATAGCTGATGTTTCTGCCGTGTTTAAATAAAGTGCATTTATGCATGCTTTTTTTTTTAATCTCAATCTGCGACAAGGCCGCTCCTCAACTTCAAGAATAGTCGAGGTATGATAACGACACTTATATAATGGCATAAGTATGTATGATGTGTATCGTGGTATGTCCAAAAATGTTTCCTTCTACGTGTTAATTACGTCATGAGATCCCCACGGCTACTATGAAAACTTTTAAATTCGCAGTACAGTAACAGGACATGCCAATTGTTACTAGAGAAATTTCTGGTTAGTTGCAAAGTTTTCCAACTTTTATTCAAATATTGAAAAAGTTATGAACAGTTAAAGTCAGCACGGGCACTTTCAGCATCCCGCCCTCTGCCTCGGTCAGTTCACAAGTGTGGCAGCTAGGGTTTTACACATTCTTTTGAGCATAATAGTGACGTAAAAGAATCAGGCAGCACGCGGGAATAATACCTACAAAAACTGGCGGACAGTTGAGGGCTTTGGGCAGCGCAAGGGAGATCTGGGCATCAGTTGCTTGACTGCACGGTACATACAGGGCATGCCAACAGGTTGCGCTAATTCAACACTCGTCTGCTGCATCAGAGCCAGGTTTTTCATTTTCGCAATAACCAAGCTAGAGTTATGGAAGAATCCATTTAGGTGTAGCTCATGCTTCAACATAACAAGCGTTAATAATAAATATTAGCTTTTTATGTGGGCATAATGGAACATAACAGTGATGCCTTTCGAGCATAAACTGTGAGATTTGGTGGGCAAAATGTGTAAAACCCTACTGGCAGCGCCATGTTCAAAGACCGACCCTCAAATGCATGGGCGATCAACACGTATCTCACATTGAATTTTGTTTTCGTTTGGTTGGTGTCTCACTAGACTAAAACAACAGCAACTTGCATTGGGGAAAATAATGCAAAGCACTTCAGAAAGAAAAAATCCAAGAGGCGGGGCAAGCTCGCTGTCAATCATGTTCTTCTGGTGGATGAATGACGTCATAAAACTAGGAAATGGTCAACCGCTGACCGAGAAGAATTTGTTTCCTCTTCTTGAAGATTACAAAGCTGAGGTGCTCGTAAAAACTGCAGAAAAATGGTGGCTGAAAGAATCGAGAAGTAAGACACCACGTTTGTGGAAGGCAATGGCCGGACTTATTCCCTGGAAATCATATCTGATTATGCTGGCTTTACAGACCCTTCGGTCTCTGAGCTTTGTCTCCTTGCCTGTTTGTCTTTGGCTTTTGTTAAAGACGCTAAATGATGCTTCGAATTCAGACATGAAGTTGGCATTTATCTACGTTGCAATTTTGGGGATGACAAGCTTAATACAAGCTGCGTCGACGCAACACTATGACTACCTCACTGAGCTGTGGGGATTGAAGCTGAAAGTGGCATTGATAGGACTTGTTCACAAAAAGGTAATAATTAACTAGCAGATTTAAAACTTGGATTCTGTTCTCTAATTTTGTTGCATCTTTCCGTGTTCCCAACCTTACCATGTATCCGTCCGTTTTGTTTACTCATGTATTTTCTATTCCAAATGCCCAAGCCAAGAGATTGTACTTCCGCAGCAACATGCACAAAGTAATTTACAACTTTTTTTTTCGCGTCGAAGTTTGGACGATGGACGAATCAAAGTTATGTTTTACACAATGATTAGAGAAAATGTGTTCCTCTATTCCTCGATCGTCGACAGATATAAAGAACATGCTGGGGTAGCAGATTAACCAACTAGACAAACGAACTAATTGTAGCTAATTGTCTTTTCTGTTTTTAGATTCTTGCTCTAAATCGTTTTAGCTTGGAAGCTATGTTGTCTGGAAACACTATAAACTTGGTCTCGAACGACGCACAAAAGATCGAGAAGTCCTTGAACCAAGTAGGTATGGTGTTATTTGCTCCTTTGGAACTCAGTATCAGCCTGGTTATCCTGTGGTACTTGATTGGCTGGGAGGCCCTCGTTGGTGCTGCCTTTTATTTCGTTTTAGTCGTCTTTCAGCTGTTTATGGCGAGAAAGGCTGCCAAGCTTAGAGCCAAAGCAGCTGCTTTCACAGATGAACGGCTTGTGGTGATGAAAGAAATCATTTCTGGAATACGAGCGGTGAAGATGTACGCTTGGGAGTGGAAATTCAGAGACATTATCAGAGATCTTCGCAGGTAACAATGAATCGTTATTCTATGAAATTAAAATATTACATTGACTCATATATCACAAACATTGTCCCAAAAGGCTGGGTTTCGAAAATTGTGTCTACCTCATAAACATTGTGAGGCATAAATTCAAAACCTCTTTGACATTGCAGTTGTATATTCTGCTAGTTGGCATCAAAAGAAAGTTGTACCGCGCTGCGTGTTTTTAGTAGCCAAACCCTTCACAAAGGGCAGGACGCAATCCTAGGACCAGTGTAACTCCAACAGTGTTGATTAAAGAAAGAAGAACAAAAGAAGAAATGTTCAAAAGCAAGATTAACCATCCTGCTGGAGAGTAATTCTCATGCTCCTCCTCCTGGCGAGTAGCAGGGAAAAAATAGTTAACGTGCACATAGCATATGTAGGGTGCAAAGAGTGTTATCACTCCTAGGGGACTACAAATGTTCTCTTGCCGAAAATGACATCACCGTGTGGAGGAAGTTATAAATAAGGGTGTTAAGGTGTTAATGGCATCATCTTATTTACCGTCGGCTTGGCTGTTCCAGTCGCTTGGGCCAGCTGGGGAGCAGAAAAAAATGGGTGGGAGTGTTAGTTGAGAAGGCGCGAGAATACTGTGAACTTTTTAAGAGATCTTTATGAACGAGGGTCTTAAACCTAGTTTTTGCTAACCATTATTATGCTTGGAACATTAACCCTAGGACGTACAAGCTAATTCATACCCCCACCGTGGTACAAGGAGGGTGTAGATGGAGCCCCCCTCCCCCACCCCCTTGGTTTTCGTTCTGTTAGGGTAGAGCGAAATAAATTTGCGTTCATTAGATAACCCTGAGCTTGCTCTACAAGATGATACCATTTTTGTTGGTAATGGCGTCATTCTACCCGCCATCTTGGATCCGCCATCTGGGATACACAATAGACGTAAAAACAATTGCGCAGAGAATGAAGGAACAGCTACTGAAAGTTTCAGCCCCTTAAAGTAAATCGTCTTTTCAAAATTTTGAAAAAACCTTATGGGGAGGTGGCATCCACCACCACCCCCCCCCCTCCCCGAATTGTACGTCCGAGGGTTAACCCTGCTCCTGTTAATGTTTGTCTTTTTACAGAAAGGAGATGACAATCATTCGCTTAAAAGGCGCCATTGTCTCCATGGTGTGCGTTTTGTTCTTCACCACACTTCCAATCGCCGCTCTGATTTCTGTAACAACACTAGTTATGACAGGAACGCAATTATCATCTTTTAGTATATTTACACTTCTTCTGAGCTTAATGACGATAAGAACTACATTTTGCTACAACTTGAGCATGTCCATGCAAATGGTCGCAGATGCTAAAGTAGCACTTGACAGAATACAGGTTTTCCTTGAAAAAAGGATGTCAAAGATGAAAGTAACCGAGCAATCCGAGCAGCATGGCTCTAAGCAAATTTTCGCAGAACAGGTACATCCTGTTAATACTATTATAGTCCAGTCTAAGAACACTCAGAGAACAGTGGCTATCCAGCTGGCTAATTACCGAGAACAAGACGACTCCGCAGGAAATCATTTACAAACATTCACTGCCAACTCAGTACCTACAAAGACCGCAATCATTTCCTCTAGCTCTTTTCCCAAAGCTCCATTGAAAATGAAACTTAGCGATTCAGGCCCCCAAAAGCCTCATATCAGCATTCATGAGATGTCCTGCTCTTGGAATCAAGATGGCCCCGCCCACAGCTTAAGAGGCATAACTTTAAATGCCTCCAGAGGTGACTTGATAGCGATAACAGGGGCAGTTGGAAGTGGAAAATCCTCTCTGCTAACAGCCATTCTTGGAGAACTACCTCTACGCAAGGGAAAGATATCGTATCATGGCAAAGTGGCCTATGCTCCTCAAATACCCTGGGTATTTTCTGGGACAATAAGGGAAAACATTTTGTTCGGTTTGCCATTCGACCAGAAGAAGTTCCAGCGTATTTTAGACATCTGTGGGTTGACGAAAGATTTGGCGGACCTCACCAATGGAGACCTAACGGAAATTGGACAGCGTGGAGCGTCCCTCAGTGGAGGTCAGAAAGCACGTGTGGGTTTAGCTCGTGCAGTGTATTCAGACGCTGATATCTACCTGCTTGACGATCCACTGAGTGCAGTTGACACTAAAGTAGGAAGAAAACTTTTCAACAGTTGCATACTGGACTATTTATCGGGTCGCATTCGCTTGCTGGTTACCCACCAGTTGCAGTGCTTGAAAGATGTGGATCGCATTGCTGTGATGAAAAACGGTTCAATCATTTGCCAGGGAGGATACAGGGAACTTACAGAGAGCGGCATATTCTCAGATTATTTGGAATTATCTCAGCCGAATGAGGATGATCCAAAGCGCGCAAACAGTGTGAGTCTTAACCAATTTAAGGAAGACGACGTCATAAAGAGGTCGTCATTTTCTTCGGTTTCGTTAGTGAATGAACACGTTGCACATAAAGTTAACATGTCTGTTGTTGACAATCTCAAGTTATCTACGCACCAAGAGAAAGAAAGTGACGGCGTTTCAAACTTGAGCGATGAATCGTCTCTCCACAAGTGGTCGCGATCGGTACCCTCAAAATACGCCCATCAACAGGCTCATGGCTTGAAAGAAGAGGAGGAAAATAAGAGAGCTGGAACTGTCACCTGGAGACTCTACTGGGATTATTTCAAAGAAGGACTGCCAGTTCCCATTATCGTACTTGGTGCGGTTTTAATGGTATCAGCACAAGGTAAAAAGACTAGAAATATATTTTTACTCTGGCCCTGTTTAGTCTGGAAAAGGAGAACCGAGGGGAAACATAGTGCCCCCGCAGTCAAAAATTGAAATAATAGTAATAATGGCCATGCAACTTGAAGTTTTGTTAAAAGATAGCGGTACATACTAATTACTTTGGTCCATTTAAGATAGCATGGATACTGTTGCAAAATACATAGGAGCACTTTTTTGGCACCCTATTTTCCCCACCGCACCCTCCCACTCGACCCTCGCAGGCTCACTGACGAAAACAAAATAACCAATCCTAATAAGACGTAATAACACGCCCCACTTTTGATAAAGTCATTCTAGGATGTTTGGCGTCCTTCGTATACCGGAATCTCGGCCAGCAAAAGTAAAAAGTAGCTACGCGTTTTCGTGTAACTAGCTAAGTAGAAGTCTCATCCATTTTTGGTCAAAGGTTGCTTGTTATTATGTAAAAAAAAAAAAGAGAATCAGTAATAATAATGTGTTTTCTGATGTTTTTGCTTCAAGCAGAATTTGTGAAAACGTTATGTCATTTGAAATGTATGGTGTTAACTGGCTAAACTTAAGTAATTTCATCACTGTTTCAAAACAAAGAATTCTTGCACGCAAAATGAATTGCATCGCAAAATAAATCGAGTTGACAATGCTGCCGCTTAGGGATTTTCAAATACTTCAATGCAACATGTAATCCCACTTAAGAACTGAAACACGGTAATTCGGAATCAACTAATGACATTTATATTTAGCTTGTGTCCTAGCTCCAAACTGGTGGTTGACTAGAATCGCAGAGATGTCATATGACCAACAAAAAGCACCAGCCACTCAAGTCATACACGCCTGTCTGGTGGCGGTGTCCATTATTGTCATGGCAGCATCGTGTTTCTTATTTTATTTCCTCCTTTTGAAAGCGGCTGAAAATCTCCACAATAAAATGACACTGACTACGCTCCATGCTCCTGTGCTATTTTTTGACACAAACCCAGCTGGCCGTATCCTCAATCGGTTTTCCAAAGATGTGGGTTGTATGGACGATGTGTTGCCACAGCTATTTTTACAGGCCGTCATAATTTGCCTTTCCTCGCTCAGCGCCATGTTGGTTCCGGCTGTAACAAACTACTGGATATTCTTAGTTCTTCTTCCACTTACTGGGATTTTGGCTTACTATGCACGCTATTACCTGAAATCCGCCAGAGAGCTGCAGAGGATCGAGGCCTTGAAATGCAGCCCTGTGTACTCACACATCACGGAGACGTTAAATGGATTAGAAATAGTGCATACGTCGAACATGAACAGCGCATTTCTGGACAGGCTTCAAAGGTTAGTCTTGATCTAATCAATTACAATAATAATCAATATTTCTATGGCGCAAATCTGATCAAATGCGCCTTAGAAACTATGTAAATAAGATGATTAATAAAAAAAAATTATTTACAATTCTAGTGAAAAGAAAAGGAGAAATATCGAGAGCTAATCAGTATAGCAACTGTAAATAAAAATGCGTTCAATTTGAACTTAAAACGTTCAAATGTAGTCAGGTGCTTGGCCATGTATGGCCTTAAAAGTTATTATTAATATCTTTGGAGTGAGCTGGTCTTACTAGTAAGAAGGAGAACCATTAGATATCAAATTAAGATACAGTCTTAACCTTGGAGAGTTAGGATTTGTGGCACTACACACACAAATACTTAACGACGTACAATTACCGAATTCTTATTACAGACGCGTCCGGAAAACCTTCTTGGACGGGAAACTCGTCTTCAGACGGAAACCTCGTCTGAAACCAGTAGAGGACGAGATTCCTGTCTCAAATTTACCCGTCTACTTTTCCGTTCAAATCGATGGGAGAAAAAAAAAAGAAGAAAAATTCGTCTTAGAGGAAACGCTCTCTCAAATTCATTCTGGACGCGAAAATAACGACGAGGTTCAGTCGCAATTTTCAGACCGTTTACAGTACTTAAATTCATATCCTATCAAACCGAATTCAGTATGCGACTAGTTTCCCATCTTCAAACCGGGTACTCATAAACTCATAAAAAAATGGGGGGTGGGAAAAGGAAGTATATGATCTTGATTTTCCTGCGGAAACGTTAGGCCTAAATATGTAACTCATTCACAATGAAAGTCAGTTTCACATATCTTGTTTAGTCAACTTGCAATGTATAAAGTAAGTTGTATAAAGTAAGTTATTTCCAAAGTAATCCCTTTCAAGTCACTTTTAGACGCAGTACCCAGTCCTTCTGCGGATAAACTTACCACTCTTGTGGCATTGATATTCTCATGGAAGATTAAAATATGTGTAAAGCTGCTTGGACTGTCCACATGAGAAAAATCCGCATCACAGGATTGTCTATTCCTAGACCCTCCTGAGATTACCGAAATCAGGAATGCTCTAAAAATAACTTGAGAAGGATTAACTTGACAATAAGACCAATATATACTCCAAAAATATACTCAATGCACACTCAATGTATACTCAATATACTCAATGCACACTCAATGTATACTCAATATACTCGATGCATACTCTTTATCCTCTCTTGCTTAAATGCATTTAACCGGGCCCGTCCTTGAAACATAAAACTGTATTATTTACGTGCGTAAACAAACTGACTTCACAAGGTAAAAGATGTCTTCCAATAGATAATTACCTTTATGAGATGCGCCTGGAGGGATTCATGGAAGTTGTGTTCAACATCTTGTATCCGGGTGTTTATTTTGATGAATACAACTGCGATGATTCCCTGCAGGCGCGTCTCACAGAAGGCGTCGGCCATTGTGTCTCTTCAGGTATCAAGACGAGAATACAAAAGCCTTCTTTATGGTCGTTTCCTGCACTCGTTGGTTGAGTATTCGCTTGGATCTTCTCTCCAGTCTGTTCGTCACGATTGTCGCCGTGGCCACTATGTTGATCACCAATAGTCCTGGTGAGTTGATGCAAGCTAACTCGGTTGGGCATGCTATCCCGGATGTTATTACTCACCAGTGCTCCCTTGCCCTCTATTTTCTGGCATTTTTATTCGATCGTTGAACGGCGGGTAGAATCGCGAGAAAACTGAACGCCAGCTCTCTATTATTTGTTTAGCTCACTTCCCTCGCCTACCTGCCCCAACCTCCTCGTGCTTTCGCGCTCGAGTTCGCCTCGCGCGCTTTTTATTTCGCATGTGTTGAAAAATAGAGAGCCTGTGAACAGTTTCCCTGCGACCACTCTCGGAAGCGACCAACTCTAGTTACGACCTCCATAGTGAAACACCGTTTCGTTTGTCGTTTAAACTCTACAAGTAAAAACCCTCGTGGACCCTTGTGAGCGACTGCTCCCGTAAGGGACTGCATTTGCTTATGGGAAATACCAGATGGTTGTTTCCTTTGTTTTCAAGTTCTTTTCAACAACCTCTCAGAGAGTCTGACTCGTATGATCAAAACTTTTATAAATGCAATTCTGGGATAAACGTTTAAGCGATATGTCGAGTGTTCCCCCGGGGAGGAGCACTCCCAGATAAAAAGGACGGGGGGTCCTCGTCGGTTTTAATTTGGTACCTTTCAGGGTGTTCAGCCTCAGAAGGTCCACAGCGGGAGCTTTACCCGTACCTTTTAGGGCATTGAGCCGCAAACAATATGATAGGAGATACCTGACAATTATCTCATTTCTAATTTTGTATCATTTACTGCGGGGAGTCACAACTCATCAATTAAAAGTGTCTCGTTGTTATTTTAGAATTGGTAACTCTTAGGAGTGAAAAAAAATTCAAGCCACGCCCCCAAAACAGGATCTCTTTGAGAGCACACCCGACCTTTTTATATGGGAGGACCCCCTCCGGGGGGGAGGGGGAGGCTAAGAGATCTGGAAAGCGACCAATCCCAGATCTTGTTTAAATGTGTGGTCGCCCTCAGGCGAACAGCTCTAAATACGTGCGTTTTCTCGAATTTCGGATTTTGTTGTTGTCTTTCCCAGCCTTGGCTGGACTTGCCCTCACTTATGCTTTGCAAACACTGGATGCCACACAATATGGTATACGACTGGCTGCAGAGGTGGAAAACTCGATGACGTCGGTCGAACGTGTCCTGACATACGCAAAAATCGAATCCGAACCCGGCTACAGCACAAAGGCTGTTCCTCCAAAATCTTGGCCACATGACGGGAGCTTGGCGATACGGGATCTTTCTTTGGTTTACTTTGACGGAGGACCTCGCATCTTGAAGGACATCAACTTTTGTGTTTCTAGTAAGGAGAAGGTAGGAGTTGTGGGTCGCACCGGCGCTGGAAAGTCATCTCTGGTATCCGCTTTGTTCCGTATGCCTGACTATCTCGGAAAGGTAAAATACTGAATCCATTGTTTGTAGCGGCTTTTCAATACAAGGAGAAACCACTACCAAATCACAAAAACATTTTTGGACCGACTCGAACAGGAGACCTAGAAAGTTTTTCAAAGTTTTGATTCGTCAAAACGTTTGCTCTCCAGTACAGTTAAGCCTACTTCACCCTCGCGACATCACGACATAAGAAGGACGTACGTTGTGTGTGTGAACATCCTGACATGATGACATAATAGCAACATAACAGAATGCAGAAAAAACTGATCTTTTCATTTGTCATGATGTTGATGTTCACATTACCGACATAAGTGATTACGTCGTTTTGTTGTTATGTCATTACATGTATGTCGCTGGTGTGAGCCATGCCTTAAAGATTAATGTTGCTGTTGCCTTAACATTATATTTAATTGTACTATGGATCTTGTGATTTTACGTAGGAAATATATAAATCATATTAAAATATGCCAGTGGAGTCTTGAGTTGTCAGTTTTTCTGTAATTGTCCCAGTTTCAGATTGTTTACCACTGTGTATATTCTGAAATAAGCGGAATGACAAATTACGCAAAAATTTATGTCGGTTCCTATGTTTACTTTTCAGGTGTCAGTTGATGGTGTTAATATTGTTTCTATCCATCTACAAAAGGCTCGCAAGTCAATGGCCGTGATAACCCAGGATCCGGTGCTATTTAGAGGCACGTTAAAAAGTAACATTGACCCATTTTCACAACACACAGATCAAGAACTTTGGGAAGCTCTGGAAGAGGTACAATTGAAACCTCTTGTGAACGAATTGCCAGGACAGCTCGAGTTCAAGCTGAAAGAATGTGGAACAAACTTAAGCGTTGGTGAGAGGCAGTTGGTGTGCTTGGCTCGTGCACTGGTCCAGAAGAGCAAGATCATCATCATGGATGAAGCCACCGCTAATGTGGATTTCAAGACTGATCGTCTGATCCAGGAAGTCATTCGCGACAAGTTTAAGGATTCCACAGTACTGACCATTGCTCATCGACTGAACACCATCCTAGATTACGACAAGGTGCTGGTTCTTGATGGTGGACAAGTGGTGGAGTTTGACAAACCTGAAGTGCTGATAAGGAAGGGTGGACTATTTGCTGAGATGATCAGAAGTCAGACACAAAAAAGAAAGAAGTGAAAATTACAGCATAGTGACCCAATGCGTACTTATCAAACTGTTCCTACTGAGATTAATAATGTAAATGCAGACTTTGTTATACCAACTAAAGTAAAAGGGCAAAGGATGTATAGGGAGTGAAAACTGGACAAAATAACAACGGATTTAAGAAAATGTAGATAAATATTTTTAGTAGTTGTACTTTTCGTTGCTACATGGTATCCTGGGGTAGTATACACTCAAATGGTCATATTCCACTGAACTGAGTCACATAAAATCTGTGAATAGGAGCGCGCTATGCTACACATTTGGGATGCATGGCTGAGTCAAGAATCTTTACACTTGATGGCTAAAAAGAAATTTACAAGTGTGAAGTGTTGCTAAAAAAAGATGGTGTGTTTGCAGTAATTGCGAGAAGCCAAATCAGAGTTGTGCGAAACATCGACAACAGAATATGGCATAACACCTTAAACAGAGATGGTTTATCAGTTGTTTTATATAATAATCTAATGAATACGCGCGCTCTGATTGGTCAATCAGCTATGGTTTATTGTGCCAGTAAACTCATGGAAATTTTGCGTGTCTTCAGAATTATTATATTAAAGCAATAGACCACAAGTTTTTATGGTTTATAGGCTGATAAACCACGCGGGGTGTTGAAGAACACGAGAAGAATTCGTAAATCACGAGCCTTTGGCTCGTGATTTACGAATTCTTTTCGTGTTCTTCCAACTTCCCGCGTGGTTTATCAGCCTATAAACCATAAAAACTTGTGGTCTATTGCTTAATTCGCTGAGTCTGAAATACACTGGGAATGTTTCCCCTATTCAGCTGTGAGGGTTAACCTGACTCGGGAAACAAATTGAGTGAGGAAACAACAATTTTAGAACGACATGTCGTAATAATCGATACAAGTAGACCATTAACACAGTCAACTCTCGTCTTGCGGATACCCCGCTGTTACGGACGCTCGCTATTACGGACAAAATCCAGATCCCCGGACACCACGCATTTCTCATATAACATAATTATGTAAAGTTACAGTCTGCTGTTCATCATTTGTCAAAATTCAATTCAAAAGACTTCTAGAATGTTTATTTTCACAACAGTTCTTCATTACAGTGCTGGAAATAATTTTTCTTCTTTAACAGGACAAGTGTCCTTTCAAATCTTCATTTTGGTCGGACATCTTATCAATTTGACCGGACACTAATTTGCATAATTGATGAGTGGGTGATTGAGTGAGTGAGTGAGTGAGTGAGAACTTTATTTGAGTGTCAAAAACCTTATAGCCTGGAAATAATACACCATACTAATTAGGGGACACTGCTAAAAAAAACTATAGTAGTACTAATATTAATACAATAAAAAATAAATGATTTGAAGGGCATTATGTGCAGCATAGGATGCAGCCCTTACAGCCGGTGTCGATTAAGCGAGTTATATTCCTTTTGCGAATATAGTTTGTAAAAGCCTGCAGTGTCTTCGCTGATCTGTCAGCCATAGACAGTTTGCCCCATAATTTGGGTCCTACATAACGTAGAGAGTGCTTCCCCTAAGTAACAGTGTTGTATCTAGGGGTAGAAAAATCTGATTGCCTCAGGTTGTATGCGGAAATATGCTCGTTAAAAATGTTACAGATGCTTTTAGGACATAGTCTATGTTTAACTTTATACATGAGAATACAGATGTCTTGTAAATGCCTGTTCGCTAGAGTTGGCAACTTGGCTCTCTCCAGTAGCTGAGTATAGCTAACAAGCTTATCCTTGTAAACGGCCCTCAAGCCCCTTTCCTGTAGTCGTTCAAGTTTACGTGCACCGCTAGCTCTGCAAAAGTGCCACACTAGGTGACAATAAGTAAGGCAAGGTAGTACAGCTGACTTGTATAACTGAAGTTTGGCCTTAGTGGGGATTAAATTCCTTAGTCGCATTAGTAAGCCGATTCTCTGACTTTCCTTTATGCAGGCTGAGCTAACGTGTTCCGAAAAATTCAGTTTGGAGTCAATAGTTACCCCTAAAAGTTTAAGAGTATCTGCGGTCTTCATTTTCTGATCTTTAGTATAGATCACTGCACTAGTGCCTGAGTCAGTTGTCTTGCTGCAGCCGATGTTCAACGCCTGATATTTCTTTAGGTTTCCGGCCAGCAAGTTGGACTCGTACCACTTTGTTGCCTGATCCGCACTTTCACTAAGCTTGGATGTAACCTCCACTAGATCATGACCACTGTGGTAGATTTGGTGATCGTCAGCGTACATAGATGGTCTGGTTGTTATGCACAAGGGGAGGTCGTTCTGAAAGGGAAGAGCTCTACCCTGTCCCCAGGGCAGAGCCCTGGGGACAGCCTCGGTTCACAA